CCCTCCCCTCACATCCCCCTCCTCACATCTCCCCTCCTTGCACTCCCTCTTCACATCCCCCTCCTCACATTCCTCCTCCTCACATCCCCCTCCTTGTGTCCCCCATCCTCACATCGCCTTCCTCATGTCCCCCTCTCACATTCCCCACCCTCTCATCCCCCTTCTTCTGTCCACCTCTTCATATTTTCCCTCCTCATGTCCCCCTCCTCACATCCTCCTCGTATCAATCCCCTTCCTCTCACTCCCTCTACTCAGATCCCTCTTCTCACATTCCCTGTCCTCTTATCCCCCCTTCACATCCCTCTCCCCACATTCCTCCTCCTCACATCCCCCTCCTTGTGTCCCCCTCCTCACATCTCCCCTCCCTGTGTCCACTTCCTTGCATTCCCCTCCTCACATTTCCCCTTCTTGCATCCCCTCTTTACATCCCCCCGGCTGGGGGATGCCAGTTCCCTGTGGACCCATCCAACCATCCCTGCCAGCTCATGTCTATCGTACTTGGCACCTTTGGGTACCCCCTGCCACTCTCCCAGCCTCAGATTCCCCTTTTGGCCTCTGCCACCCACAGGGGCACACAGGGAGGGAGGAAACCATCAGGGACCAGACTCCTCTTCCCCTCTCAAAGGGCCCCAGCTCATCTTTGGGGGGACACTGAGCACCCCCCACCCCAAAAGCAATGAAACACCAGCCCCATCTCTGCCCCCAGCTCCCGGTGCAGAGCCCAGAGGCCCCCAGACGGCAGATGGCCCGAGGGGAGGCGGCGCTGGAGAGGCAGGTGCAGGGGAAAATTGCTTATTAGCTCCGGGACATTAAGCTCCCATTCTTGTGAGGGAACTCGGAATCTTCCGACTGGCACGGAGCCGGGAGGCAGGTCTGGGGAGGGGGACACGGTGGCTTCCAGCCTCGGCTCCTTGTTTTGCTGCTCCATCCTACTCTGGTCTCACCCCCTGAAAGCCCCAGGGTGCAATAGCAGGCACAGAGCTGCAGGCACAGGTTGTTCCCCAAAAATGGGAGGGGGGAATCTCCAGCATGTAGCAGGGGAGCGTGGAGAGAAGGTGCACAAGGAGATGGAATTGGTGCTTGGAAGGACAAGGAGCACCTGGAAGCTCAAAAAGCAAATTTTTAAGCCCAGTTTTACCAGTGACAAGTCAAATCTTCACAGATGGAAGTTCAGAGGTGGGGATTGGCACCAACCCTGTGGGTGTGGGGGATGTCCCGAAACTCCAGTGAGGGTCTAATCTTGTGTGGGGAGGAGAGCAGGGCACCTCTGTGTCCCCAAGAACATGCAGCATCTGGAAACACTGCTGGCCAAGGCCCAGCACCAGGAGGATGGATGGATGGATGGATGGATGGATGGATGGATGGATGGATGGATGGATGGATGGATGGATGGATGGATGGTGCACTGCTCTGACATACCAAGCCCAGCAGCAGCACCTCCAAAAGGACCCAGCTGTGGCTCTGCCCTGCAGTTTCCCAAGAGGATGGGGCTCCCACCTCGAGCCCCAGCAAAGCCAGCCCTGCTCCCCCCCAGCCAGGGTTCTTCTCCCTGCTCATCCACTGGCCTTATCTATTCCTGCGTCATCCTGCTTCCCTTCCTATCTTTACACTGCCCTATTTTTGGCAGCAGGAAACCCCTCCTGGGCTGATAACACCCTTTGGAAAGTGATCTGAAGAGTTTCCACTTCTTCTTTCTAATGCTGGAGGTAAGAAAATCTTCAACCCTTTCATTTTCCCCTGAAGAAGGTGAAACACCAGCGGGACCCACAGAGAGCGGTGGGGGCTTGGGGGGAGCTGTCTGAGCAGACCCCCTGCCCTGGTGGGAGC